ATTATTGTAGGTCCTCTATGCCCCGCCTCTCTCAAACGCTTCGTTTTATACAAAGTCCCTCCTTCCGACAAGCAGTCTGCTCTGATTGGCCAGCTGACCCAGTGCATTGTGATTGGCCGATCTCTCTCGCGCTCTCTCTCTCTCGTGCTCTCTCTCTCTCTCTCGATTGATCGCTTTCTCGTGCTCGCTCGCTCTCTCGCGCTCGCTCGCTCTATTGCGCTCGCGCTCTCTCTCTCGCTCTCGCTCGCTCTATTGCGCTCGCGCTCTCTCTCTCGCTCTCTCTCTCTCCCTCTCGCTCTCTCTCTCCCTCTCGCACACACACACGATTTGCAAAACTCCACATTTGAACAGTCAATCGCAAATACTTAAACTAATAACAAAACGGTAGCTGATTCAGAAGCGCCAGATTGTCATAGCAAAGTCAGAATTACCTCCTCTCCTAGCTTCACGAAACGGTCGTCCATAAAATGCATTGCTGTTCTGTTGTAAGTAATCTTAAAGATTCCTAAATGCATCTACCTTCGGAAGGCCAAATAAAGTGCTTTTGCTTTCGCCTAGAAACACACAGCGTCTCCCTGACATGCTGCTTCAACACTAACTGCGGTTACTGAAACCACGCCTTCTTTCTTTGCGTGAACATTTGGGCGGCATTATGCTAATATTGCCACATAGTGAGGTAGATATGTGGGGCCGTGTTAGAACGAGCCGTTTTAGGGGGGCGTGGCAGTCTTAAATTTGATAAAGAATATCTCTTTGGTTTTGAGACTTTAGTCTTTGCAACTTCAGGGATCTTATCTATGCACAATCAGCTTGTAACACTCCAAAGAGAAAGGAAAACTTCGCATCAAATGACCCCTTTAATATGCATTATACAGAAGCAAGATGAAAAGAAAAAAATACCATCTAAACTTGGACAGTAAGTTCCCCTCAGACATGCATTCATATAAACTCCTACCCCTAAATGAATCGCGATTTGTTTAGCATCTCAACCGATTTGAATCGTCACATATTTGAATCGATTTTCAACCGGCTCGCGGTTAATCGTTACATCCCTAGTAGTTTGAGATACTTAATGACAAGTCAACTAAAACTGTAGCTCATGGTAGAACTATAAATAGTTTTGGGGAAAAAGCATTTTCCATAAATGTGCATCTGTATTTACTACGTACTAAACATAACATTAGCGGATCATTCAATGCAATTCAATTAACTGGTTTGCCGCAATTTTTAGAGAGTCTGTTTGTATTAATTCACCGCTCTAAATTGTTTTTGGAAAAAGCTTCTGTGATAAATGCGCATCTACATACATACTAAACACAACTTTACTTGTCAATCAAACAGTCTCTTCCTGTCTAAGTGGGTGGTTCTTGGACAGAAAGAGCTGCAATGTGGACTAGACTACTCACAGGAGTCTGGATCATCATGGCACGCTGGTCTCTCATGGTTCTGACGATGTCTAAGGGATACACCGACTGACCATTTTCTATCAAACACATCGCTGTCTCCATAGTGATAAGCACCCCGGTGCGACCAATCCCAGCGCTGAAAGAAAAAGGGGTGGAGTCAATAAACATTTTGTTCACCATTATGGTGTTTTTGAGCCTGTGGGATGTCGATCGATGATACTGTTGCAACATTTTCCAGGCCTGACCTGCAATGAACCACCACAGGTTCAGATGCGTAGGTTCTTTTGCTGCGTACTTGACTGACAAAGTTCAGGAAGTCCGACGAGTCATCTGGGACGCCGTGGTCAGGCCATGCCAAGTACTGCATCTGACAAATCTGCCTTTCTTCTTTACTCTATACAAATATCCAAACAGATATTAGCACAGAAATATATTTATACAAAGAATATGGAACATGTAAAGAGATATGTCACCTCCAGGTGTGAAAGCGTCAAATCTCTGAGCAGGTACGCCGAGTTCCCTTCCTCTGACACACATGTAACCTGAAAGCCTCCGTAGGTGCCACTTGCCGAAACGTTTGGCCAGTATTGATGACATTTCACCTAAAACAGAAAATGTCAAGATATACCATATATGGCAAAATCACTGCTATACATCAGAACACAACCATATGGAGGACAAAATCGAAGCAAAAAAGTCACAAAATGGCATTTTCATATAATTTAACTTCCGTAAAGTGACATTTACATTTAAAATAAACATTAAAAGACAAGTAATGTAGGGTGTGACTTGATATATCTGTCAGGATTTGATTGGATTTTTTTTACTTTGGAACACACCAAGCCAAAAATTCATTGGTTAATATTTAGGCCCGCCCTCAAGGCCTTGGTTAAATCAGCAGAAAAGCTGTTTATACATTTTTTAATTTTGATTATAGAAACAAACAATACAATTAGATAAGATTATTAAAGATATTTAATAATAAAAAATACTTTTTTTTATTAAGAATGATGCATGGCAATGAGCCTGACACAAATGACCAGGCAAGTAATTTATTTGTAACTTATCAAATTAATTCATGACATTTTGCAATTTATTAAATGTATTAAATTACCAATTGTTGATGTTGACTACTTATAGTTTATGAAAATAAAAATATGCAATTTATAAAAACAAAGGATTTTTTAAAAATAAAATTGTACATTTTATTTTTATTCATTTTCATTAGTTTAATAATTAAAATGGATCTACAGTGACTGAATAAATGTAATTTTACATATGTGTGTGTGTGCACACATATAATTTGTAATTTACTGAATTATTAAAATTTGTAATTTATTAAATGACAATTAAATCACCAAATGTTGATTACTTGAAATGTATAAAAATATAATGTATATAAAAATATTTTTACAATCTGTAGTTTCTTAAATATTACAGTTAAATATGAATTTTTATCATGTTTATGAGTGTGAATATTTTTTATTTAATGAAATTGTTAAAATTCATACCCTGCCACGTTCAACTTGTGTCGTGAGCATGACCACTAGGGCGGCGCTCTGTTCCCACACCATCTGCCAGAAGTCAGAGCAGGTACCAGGAAGAGGCCCTTGACAGGCGATATACCGCTTTACTTCACATTTACCAGGGACTTCCATCTGAAAACACACACACATACATATATATATATATATATATATATATATACAGATTATCGTTTTCTAAGAACAAAAACTTGCCAAATTAATTTGAAAATAACAGTAATAAGTAATGAATGCTCACGTTAAGGAAATTTGCATTGATATAATCGTCCGTCCCCTTCAGCACAACTCGAGTGGTGTCATCTGTGTCACAAAATAAACCGTTCTGAATGTCCAACTAATCATGAAAACATTTCTGAGTCCAATATAAACACAAGCTGTGTGTACTCACATGGAGAAATGTCCCGATAGCGGTTTTTGGAGACGTTTTGCAGCAATCTGGCGCATGACATGGACATCCCAGGACGCTTCCTGTACAGTTGCTGTAAGAAAGTAAATGTTTTAGGGTACAAAATACAATTTCCGCCAAGGTTTAAACAAAAATAACATGACTGTAACTTGACCTTGTTTACTGTTTGTAACTGTGCAATATTAGCATGTTTCATTTTCATAACTATTATTACCATTATCATTGGCAATAAACAGGCTAAATTAAGCTTGCAGTTAGTACAAGTTCATGACATAAAAAAATGCAAGCTAAGCAAACAGGAAGTAATTGAGACAGCCTGAAAAGAGCAACAGGAAATGATGTGACTAAAATGTAATGTAGCCGACAACACAGTGCAATGTAAGATTTCTAGATGAAGAAAGCAAAAAAAATCGGAGAGGAAAATCAAAATGGATATATGTAACATGTAACAATGAATCTGACACGTAAGACCAGCAATGTTATTTATTTGTAATTTATTATATTCATTTCTGACATTTTGTAACTTAATAAATGAATTAAACAAAATCACCAATTGTTGATTTTAACTATCCATAGTAAATAAATAAAAATATATAAAAACAAAATTTTTAGAAAAAATGTTCATAATTTCGGTTTAATTTCCTAATATTTCTTAAAATATTACTTGTTAAATTATTAAAATGGATCTACAGTGACAAAATAAATACAAACGTTATAATATATAATAACATCAAATAAATGTTAAATAATTTAAAACAAATTCTACAGTGATGTTGATTTTGACTATTTATTGTTTATAAAAATGAATATATGAAAATATAATACATGAAAACAGAATACTTTAAAATGTGCATAATTTCTGTATAATTTTCTAATATTTATTTAACCATTATTGGTTAAATAAAACTGATATCTTAATATTGAATCTACAGTGCCTAAATAAATATAATAATTATAGTACATATATAATAATAAATATATTAAAAGAAAGTTCATTTAGAATATATATAGCAATACATCTGACATATATAAGACAAGCAATGTAATTTATTAAATTAATTTACAGCATGTTAAAAATGTATTAAAAGTGTGGACTACTTAATTTATAAATAAGAATATATAAAAATCTAATATATACAATTTAAATATGTATAATGTATAATTTCATATAGAATTTTAGAATAGAATATTATTAGTCAATTAAAATAGATTTACAGTAACTGAAAAAAATATATATATATCCTACTTACATCAAACTGCGCAAGCACGGTACCGCTGGAAAGGCCATCTCTCAGCAGCTGGATGGAGGATCTCAAGCTATCGGCCTCCGAGTGGCTCTGCTCCAGACCGGATATCTCTGGAATATACTGGAAATCTGGCTCCAGATCCAACTTCTCCTGCTCCTCGTCCACGTCATAGATGGCTGAAGAAAAAGGAAGGAAAGAAAGTCCGTGTATTTTAAATTTCACATATAATTTTAACTACTAAATTTCAAATTTGGAGATCGTACCATTGGGTCTGACGAGCAGGATGAGCTCTCCTGATTGGTCCTCACAGCTGGCCTTAATTAGCATAACCACGTCATCGTGAGTGTGCTCTGAGATATCACGCCCGTTAATCAGCACCACCTGGTCGCCCTCGTTGAGGCGCGGCATACACATATCAGCCTGACAGAGGTCAAAGGTCACAGATGATAGGTTAGGGCCATTTAAATTGCAGCGAGTGATGGAAAATCAACATTTAATTCATACTGCGTAAATAACAAACTGAATTTCAAATCTTTTAGACTTCAATATTCCTGTGTAAAGGAATGAAATTGAGAATCATTCATCATCGGGCTGAGCTGCTGTTTACTGAAGCGCCTCGTGACTTTAATGAGACTCATGTCACCAGACATAAAAACACAACATCATCTGATCTGTGAGTGATGCATGAACTTACCGGAGTTCCTGGAGCCACACGGGACACAATGATGGGCATCCTCTGATCAGCGCCACCCTGTGGATGAAGAACAGATTTATTAACATATATAAATACACACATTTATAAATGCATTTTAGTAGTAAAAAACACACACACACACACACACATATATATGTATATGTGTATTATACACACACACACACACATATACATATATATGTATATGTGTATTATACACACACACACACACACATATATATATATATATATATATATATATATATATATATATATATATATATATATATATATATATATATATATATATATATATATATATATATATATATATATATATATATATATATATATATATATATATATATATATATATATATATATATATATATATATATATATATATATATATATATATATATATATATATATATATATATATATATATATATATATATATATATATATATATATATATATATATATATATATATATATATATATATATATATATATATATATATATATATATATATATATATATATATATATATATATATATATATATATATATATATATATATATATATATATATATATATATATATATATATATATATATATATATATATATATATATATA